GCGGTGACATTAATGGTGTTTCCTGCCAGAAGCACTGCAGAAAGATATCTCTTCTGACACTAACATAGTTCTGCTTTCACTGTTGCTGGGTATTTACACAGTCACAGTAAACACAGAGCAAGCCAATTTGGTGAAGCTTAGAAATGGCTGATTTGCATTCTAGCTAAAAGTCAGAGATCATATGAACAGCAGTTCCCTGAGAATCGAGTGCTAATTCAAATAATATTTCAAAACCTTATTTTGATAAGTGTCATTCAGGAGATTTGTGCAGAAAGCTTTACTAAGATAAATCTTGAAGATAACATTATTGTTGTTGCCTCTGATGTATGCAGGAGTTGATAACAAGCTGATTTCCTTTTTCTGACGGATGATTACACACAACAGATGTTTTAATTTGATTATATCTATGAGATAAGCATAAATGCTGTGTTAAGTCCAAACACATTTTATAAGTTTTGAAAAACATTTTACAATGAATGTAACCATTTGTAAATATCCTTGCTTGAGGGTGTGTGTGTTCTCATAATGGTGCAAATTATCAATAACAAGTTGAAACCAGTGATTATACGAAATAAGAAAAGTGCATTTAACAGTAGCTCTAATTCTGTGTTCTATGATAACCTAAATTAAAAGAGAAATATTATTCAAACGGTGATACAGGGCACAACAGTTTCACACTGCTCCAAAGAGGACAATGTGTTCTTCAGCCAGTGATACACAAGACAGGCAGAGCTTTTATCGAGGATGCTGAAAGGCTAATGCTCCATGCCAAGCACCCTCAATTTGAAAATTAGCAGGCAAATGTCAGTTTCGTGAACAGAGTGCTGCAGTGAATGGAGGTTTTGAGTTTCAAAGAATACAGGCTTACAAAATTTGACTTTGATTTGAACTGAAATGCCAAAATTTCTCAGAAAAATAAACTTCTTGCCTAACTGTAGTGAAATCAAAGTGTTAGATATTGTTTCCATGTCCTTTTTTTTCATATGTAACGCGGGGAGAACAAAAAAAAATTTCAAAACTAATACTCTGCTTCAAAACAAAAGCCAATCTGTATCACAATGAAAACATCAAAATGGGGCATGTCAGTTTTTCCTATTTATATTTTGAAAAGAAAAGTAGATTTCCTATTTTTATTTTGAATGTAGTTATGACAAAACTTGTCCAGAGTAATCAATGTTTTTGTTTGAGTCAAGGTACTTATTCTAGTTACTTCATAAATAGTTTCAGTAAGGCAATATCAGCATACTATGTACCTGGTTGCCTCGTGTCATTCCAAACAAAAATCACAGGCATTAACTCCAATGACTGCCAGTGGATAAAGCATCTTGTAGCTTACTTTATGTGATGTATACAATTCAAAGAGCATTTTCTTTAGGATTCATGTAATCTAACATCAGATACCTACCAAGTAGATGTCTGGGCTAATTATGCTCCCTATCATCAGCTCTTTGTGTTTAGAAGGTTTTTAAAATATCTAGATTCCTTTCCCTCCTTGGATGACCAAGGGAATGTGGATGACCTAATAGCCTGCTGCCACCATGATGGCAGTTCTGTTCATCCAGCATTTGTCCTCCATTCCTTTGTTCTTGAACCCAATCTGGGACTATCCCATCACAGTGAAACAAACAGCACTGCTCCATTAGATGATGAGATGGGTTTTCTCAGCCATCTCTTGGAACTTCAGTCCAAGGCTAAATTTATGCAGCTAAAGTAACTTGAGATGTTTCACCGCGCACCACATATATCAGCTCTACAGAGGCATGAATATTATATTGTGTTAGTGCAACTGTATAGGCCTTACTTAAATCTGTCTGGGAACCATCTTGTTCTGGGATTGTTACATAAAACAACACTGGAGTTAATAAACTAATCAAAATAATTGCTTTATTGTGGACATCAGCAGCTTGTGGCTGTGAGCAGAATGGTTTTGAGTTGAGTGTATGTTAAGTACAGTGAAACAACAGCTTTTTAGGAACAATGCATGTTTTGTAGAAGCTTGAAAGTGTTTTTCTACAAGGATAATGCTGTAGTTCATGTGGGACTTTGACAGAAATAAGATACTGAAAGCTAGAAAATAGTTAGAATAACAAAGAGAGTATCATTTATACTCGGTAGTTTTATGGACTGTTTTAAAAGCTGTACTTAAAACCTGCATCAAGGAGCAGTTAGCATGTTTTCACTATGAGACCCTGAGATACAAGAGGTACTAAATTGTTTGTGTTCTTGGTTTATATTTCCAAGGCTCAGAAAGAAAACACAATATTCAGTGCTTTGATATTTTGCCTTTTTAAATGAGGAACTGAAAGTAGCTGTCTTCCCTTACCCTGTCAGGCTAGAGATTATTATTTACACCATTAATCTCCCACTTTTTAAAGAGGACTCTTCCTCTACCTCAGTCAGGCTGAGGTTAAATACTCACAGTTTCAATTTAGAAGAAACTGCTATCTGAAAACAGGGAACTGGGAGCTATGAACAAGGAAATGGAAAGAAATTACCAGCTTAGTCTTGTTTCATATATTTTGGTTGTTCAGGGAATCCTGATTAAGCTGCATTTGGGCCCTAACAGGGAGGTTTGTAGTACTCAAAAAGGCAAAATATGAGTTTTCGCTGATAAGCCTGTCTGGGATAAATCTGTGGCCCAAAGTTGGCTTTACTTTGACTTCCACACAGGCTATTGGGGACAAATATTTACTACCCTTCCCCTGAGGATATCCAGGTAAGATTTCCTTCCACACAAAAACATTCTAGTAACATCTCTCACTGGGGTTCTCTGAATACCCAAAGCTCAGCTGCAGCACAATCCTGACTGCATGATGCATCTGTAAAAATAAGGGCAGTTCTTACAATGGAAATATCAAATTCCTAAAGTCCACTTGTTGTAGATTCCTCACTTGCTGGCTAACAAGTGCTGTATCACCTCATGTGTGAGAAGGGGCAGTGATGCCTGGCTGAACTCGAGGATTTGAGACCATTGGAAACCCAAATACAGCCCTTCCCAAAGGCACCATCTCCTGCCAGCCCCTCACCTACTGCCAGACCCTGGATGAGAGAAACTGGGCAGAATATGCCTATATTGGAGAAGAGCCACAGCATTCATGTGAGGGAGAGAGATGCAAGTGAGACAGTGTCAGACTTGCCAAGTCACGCCTGGATCGTGACAGGTTTGAATAGTAATATTAAATCTGTACTTGTTTGCTTTGAAACTTCTTTTTCATCTTGGAAGGTAGACATCAGAAACTAATAGGAGAGTTCAGCACACACAGCCAACTTTCTAAGCAAACAGCAACTCTTTAGCACCTGCAACTTGACAGCTCTGAGGAGAGAGTAGTGTACAGCACACAGTATATACTTGTGGGAGTTGAGAAATGCTTTTGTTTAAGTGGATACTGCAAACACAGCCACCTTCTAGCACAGAACTGGTGCACAGGAACTGATAAGAACACTCCAGTTTGTGCTCAAAGGGGAGTCTGCAACTTTTCTTACCTCTGGAGGGTGGTGACCACCACCTGTTTTAGTGAATCTTGACTATATTAAAAGAGGGTGAGGGAGAGGAAAATGCTCTTGGCTAGAGGTTTATGAGACTTTATACTGTAAACTGAGACTTCATGGTGAAAATATGCATTTAGGGAGTGTTTAAAACTAAATTTACATAAATGCACAATGATTTTTTTTTAATGTCTGTTATAGGCCAATTAAATTCTTTATGCAAACATTTCCAAATTCAAACAGAGGTGATCTGGGACATTCAGAGCATGAATTACATATATTCCCCGAGGGCTTAGCCCTCTTTCTGAAATACCCAGATCTGTGTCTCTAACTAATGTTGTAACTGAGACAAAAGCGAATCAACAACGTTGGAACAATCACCCTCAAATTATCCCCATGTACATCAGTTTACCCTTCAATCAATGCTCAGCCATTTAAATTAGAGAGGAAGGAAGACTGTGAGTTGAAAATGGGTCTCAATACAACTGCTGGCTATGCAGTGACTGGATTTATACTGGCAGAGAGCTCAAGCCTTATTCAGGTTCAAAACTGAATGGTTCTTACAGTCTCTAACAAGGCCATGAAAAGCTGGCATCACCAGTGTGATCCTACTCTCTGAATCCTGGGTGCAACTTCCCTCTTGCAGAGAAGACAAAATCTCTGGTAGAAGTTCCTTTGGAGAGGGATGGAGACTAACTTCATTTGTGTCACATACACAGCATTTGAGGGAAACTGGTGCACAACCAGCCTATTTGGGAGCAAAATAAGCAGCAGGTGGCAAGTTGTTCCAGTCAGCTTGAACATCTGCAAGCTGAGTGCCCAGCTAGTCTGTGTGAATATTTCCTGCTGTCACCCCGACTTTAAACTCCCCTGCTCCCTGCTTTAGTTCATCTGGGGGCTACGTCCTTCTTTCCGAAACCCGTTCTGCAGAGGAGGAAACAGGCTGCTGCAGCAGCATCGTTAAGGTCAGGGATACGGATGCGGGGAGGAGGTCTGCAAAGTCCCCGTGTCCCAAATGACTCGACTGGGTCCTTTTCAACTCGCAGGGAGGGAGTAGTAGCCCTCCGAGCTGGCGGTTTCCTGTCGACCTTGAGGCTCCCTGCAAGGCACGGTGCAGCTCCGGGCGGGTGCCCGTGCCCGGTCCCCGCCTCGGAGGGAGGCAGGCGCAGCCATCCGGGCTGCACGTCGGGGCTGGCCCCGACGCGCTTGTGGTGGGAGAGCCAGACCTGAGAGGGGCTGGCCTCTGGCAGATGATTGACACCAAACTGGGTGAGGTTTCATGTTAAAAGGAAAAAAAAAAAAAAAGAAAAAGGAAAGAAAAAGGGCGAGAGCAGGGGAGGGGGTGACTGTGGGAAGGGGGAGAAGGAACTACTGTAAGAGTAAGAAAGTCCTGCCCAGCTGTTTGCGAAGTTTAAGATTTCCTGTTTCCCCTGCAGCGCCGAAGTGAAGTTTCAGTGAGTCACCCGCGGTCCCGAGCAGCGGAGCGGCGCAGCCCCGCTCCCCGCCAGCCTCGCCACCGCCGCCGCGGCCTCCCCGCCGCCCCCGCGCCCCGCCCGCGGCTCGCCGGCCGCGCCGATCCGGCTCCGCGATGACTCCCCGGCTGCCGAGGAGCCTGCGGCGGCTGCTGCTGCGCCTTTCCCTCTGGGTGCTCATGGGCAGCTCGGTACCCGCTCTGCTCCGGGGTAAGTGCGCGCCGGCCCGCGCTGCCGCTTGACAGCTGCCGGGGCCGGAGCGGGGCGGGAGGGGACGGGGGCAGGCGGCGAGGGACAGGCGTCCGCCGCGGGAGGCGGGGGACACGGTTGCTAAGAAAGTTTTGAGGCTGGAAACGTTTCGGGAGGGGGTGAGCGTGTTTGTTGATGGCCCTGCGGGAGAGTAAGCGGGGAAGCAAGGACTGGGAATCTCGGGGTTCCGCGGCCAAAGCTGAGGTCCGTCCGTGGAGGGAATAGCGGGGAGAAAGGAGCGGATTTGGCAGGAAATCAGCCGGGTCTGCTCGGGCCGGAGGAGCCCGGAGAAGGCATCTGGGGGGCTGCCTGCGGTGGCCGGGGGAGGGGCTGCAGGCCCTGCCCGCAGCTGATGCGGCGGCTCCCGCACCTGGTGCGGCCCCGTGTGCAGGGCTGTGCCCGGGCGCGGGCCGGGGGAGCCGCGGCGCCTTGGCAGCGCCCTCCGGCCCGGCCCCGCCGCTCGGCTGGGCACCGGCTGTGTGTGCTGCACCGCCGCTCGGCTGGGCACCGAGTGTGTGTGCTGCACAGCCCCGGCCACACGGCCGGAGTGCCTCGGGTGGCCCTCAGAGAGAGGGCCTGTGCGTGGCCACAGAGCCCGCTGCTGCGCGGGTCTGCACTTGGTTACCAAAACTTGGGTTTCGTGAGAGTTTCTGCTAAGAGCGGAGTTGAGCCGTGGCTGTGAGCAGTTGGACTGAAAAGCACTCATTCCTCCAGCACTGACTGTGCATGTTGTTTGACTCACTTTAAAAGTGACTATTTATAATCCTTACCCTCCTTCTACCAAGACATCCTTAGATAGGTTTTTGGGGTCTGCAACTTGCAGTATTCTTCATTTCATAATTCATAATATACTATGAGCCTAAAGTCCTGCTGCAAAAACAAGATTCCTGCCCTGAGCAGCCTTCCATCTCTATCCTCCTACCAGTAGTTACCCACATCTGTGAATTAACATCTGTAATATCAAGGTTAGGCCCTAAAGCACATTGCAGAACAAGTGGTGAACCAAAAAGGAGAACAGGAGATTGCAGCAAACTGCATCTGAACACTTGTGAAGAATGAAGTAGCTTTCTAAGATGTCCTGTAATGGCACATGTAGTTTTTGTCTTCAGGTAAGGTGTGCACACCTGGGCTTCTACAAACTTTGCCCTGGGCCCTCTGATTCTCCTGTCTGGTCCATTCATGGTCAGTAGTCGATCCCAAATTTTGGCAGAAACATGATAACATAAGGTGGATAACTCTTGAATAGCTACTGCCTTTAGCTATGTGCAGTTTTGACTAACTTCATGCTTCATTAACAGCCCTGTCAAAGTCAACAGGTTTTGCATACCTGCAAAGTTACTCATGAAAACTTAGCGCAGAAGAAAAGAACAGTGTAAGAATAAGAGACTATGGTGTCCCACAACTCAAAGTTATATTAAATTTGAGGTGTGTAGCTTCTTGTTAATTTTTATGTATTTTTCTATAATTTTGCATTAGTATAAATCACACTCAACTAGTGATGTCCTTTATTTTGACCCCAGCCTCAAACTTTTGCAGATTCCCATCACAAAAAACTATAAATGGAGAAGCTCAGCTTTTGTTAATCGTGTGTTATTTATTATTATACTTTTTTTTCCCCACCCAATCAGTTATAGACAATCTCAAACTATGGGTTGATTTTTAAAAGCAGGCATGGTTCAAGAGTTTGTTGTTCTTTCTTGTCATAGGTCCAGTGAGGAAAGAGAACATAAACTGGTTACAATTCCAGCATTTTTCATACTCATCTTCATCTACAGCCTACAATAACCAAAACTGAGTAGACCAGTTGTCAGATCATCTATCCCATAGCTCCAAAAGCTGTTTTGATAATCACTGTAGGATTCTATTGTGCCATAGAATTCTATTATGACAGAAGAGTTGATCAGAAAGCAACAGTTCTGTGGAGCAGAAAGTGTGAGGTTTGGATGTTGGTAGTTATTTGGCACCAGAATGAAAATTAGAGCTGCCAAATGCTTGGGGGAAAACAAAACAAAACAAAAAAAAAAGAAAACAAAAAGCTACTTATTTTGTAATAATTCATCACTATAGTGAGGCTGAAAAAAATGGAGATGTATCAGTCTCAGAAGAGCTCAGTTCCCAGGTATGCCTAGTAACTAACCAGATAGCTAGTTAAAAAAGCACCAGGTAAAATTTCATTTTAACATTCTTCACAGCAAAATATTAGACAAGAATGACATGCCCCTAAAGATTCTAGACAAACCCACAAATTCACGAACAGGTTCAATAAGAATTTTCTCCTTTGAAAAAGATACTCTCATGTCCTGTACTACACAGAAGTAATTGACTTTTTTTGCATAGAGTAAAGGGGCAAGGTGTGATTTTTTTGAATGATTTTGAATGATTTATTGAGCATTTTATCAATTAATGGCAGTGCAAAGCAGCAGTTGCCGACGTAAGAAATTGGTGTTAGTGTGTTCAAGTGAATATGAATTTGTAGTTTGTCTTTGGGTGATCATAACCAGAAATTTGTTCCTTGGAATCATCCATGTAATAATTGTTCATCTCTGAACATCAGGAACTTAATATCTCCATTCAGCCAAACTCTATCTGCATTATTGTCTATTTTTTTGAAAGCCATATCAGAGTTAGTTAATTTTATAGTAAGAAAATCCAATTCAGAGCTTCAGATGTTTGCAAAAGGGAAGAAGGAGAGCAAACATCTTGTAACGGGATGGAACATGTTTGTAACAGGATTGAGTCTAAAATGCATTCCTGCCCCCCATTAAAACTGGCATTTTTCCAGGTATTTCAGGAGGGAAGTAGGGATGTATCAGAGATGATATTGCATTTTCTTCTATTTATGGGGTATCCTTGAATTGTGAGACTTTTATACGTAAGACTTCAAAAAACACTTTTGTTTACTTGCTATTTTTAGTTCACTGGCATTAACAAGCTTCTCTAATACTCCAGTGGTGAATTCCATATCAGAATGGTTTCTATTAAATAATTATGAGCCAGATCTTAAGCTGCTGCAAATGAATATAGTTCCATTAGCATTAGTAGAGTTATACAGAGTGATAGCAGGTTTCCTGAAACAGTTTCAAAAGTAATTTCAAAAAAAGGGCAATGGAGTAATTCAGAGTTTTTCATATTCATAGTATTTTTTCACTTATATTTTATAAACACTTACTACTATATGACCTATATGTAGTCAAACAGCATTGCTTCAATAGGAAATACTCCTTTCTGGGATAAATTGTTACAGTTTGAAAGATGGAGCATCCTATAATGGTGCCGAATAAAAGTTGTCATTGTGACAAGGTTAACTCTGAACATAGGAGGAAATATGGTGTCAGGCTCTTACCAGAAGGAAAATTCCTCGTGGTTTGGTTGTGGGGGTTTTTGCAAGTTTTTTTTCAAAGGCTTTTAGAAAGCATTTGCTCTTTTGAGGGAAAAAAAAAAGAGCAAAATATCACTGTAGCACCAGTTGTTGGAGTTTCCGATGCTTATATTTCCTCTGCAAGATATTTTTAAAGTGATACATTATTGGTTTTTTGGTTGTTTTTTTTTTTTTTTTTTTTTTTGCATTTGTGGCACAGGAACTCTTTTCTCAGTAATGTATGTATGTGCTACATGCACTTTGCTAACATTCACTGCCATTCCTCCGACCTCAGAAGAGCTGTGCCTTACTTCCAGTACTGCCAAAATGAGCAAAACCAACAGGTTGTGCCCAATCTGTTACTCTTGGATCTTGCATAACAGGGTGCATTTATATCAGCTAGGTATGAAACATGCTCACTCGTGCTGTGACAGATTCTGATGAAAGTGATCGTGCAGTCTCCACCCTGGCTGCCATGGCCACAGTGCAGCCCACAGTGAAAGGCAGGGCTTCCAGCCACCTCCGTGGTCCCAGCAGTGGGGACATGGGCTGCTACAGCCCTGATTTGCCAATGGTTCCCACCGCCCTTCTGGCACCTGACAAGCAGAGGAATGAAAGGTGCCCTGAGGCAGGTGGGAGACAGCAGTGTCATTTCCTTTGCCACAGAGGAGACTTTTGGCTCAGGGGAAATACCTAGGTAGGCATATCCCAGGAACATTAGATATTTTGTATGGCCAGAGCCTTGCAAACTCAGTAAAATTGACTGAGGTATCAACCAGTCTCTAAAGATGTTGTAGAGTACAAGGGGTTCCCAGCACAAAGTAGTGGAGAGCCAGTCCTGATATGAAAAAGAAAGTTGGCTGAATCCTAGTCTAAGAGTGAGTGTTGAGATTTTGGGTTACTTAATTGATCTTTAGCCTTAAACTTTGTTGGTATTAGAGAGGTTTTTTGTTTTGTGGGGTTTTTTTTTTCCTATAGGGTAACGGGAAGTGATTTTTAAAACCTTATAAAATGGTTTCAAGACTAAAATAAAAGGCGATGAAAAACTACTTGTGCTTTTCTATGAACTCTTGCTCTGGAAGGTTAAAATAGGCTAAAATAAATCAGAAAGAGTATGTCTTGGCTTTGACAGCCAAAGTCCTTTGGAAGTTTAATTTCACTGGCAGGTGTTGTATTAAGAAACAGCAGAGAAGCTTCTTGCTACAGGGGATAGATTGCTTTTACAGCAAGGAGTGGGTGTACACACTGGGACAGGGCAAATGCCACTGTAAGCAATGGGCTGGCACTAAACATCTGCAGAATTGGGTTCTCAGTGACCCAGCTAAATCTTCAACAGTTGTTTTTCATATTATGCCTGCACTCTGGCATAGCAACAGAGCAGCAGCACTGGCACTTGTTGAGTACAACATTTTATATCCTACTGCCTGAAAGAACATGGTTTTAGTTGTGTACAGATGTTTAGGGTAAGATATGTAAAGAGAGCAAATTGCTTCAAACTCCATCCACTAACGGAATCTCATCCAGAGGAGTAGGTAGAACTAACAGATCTCACCAGGAATTGCTTAATTCCATTTTTTTCCTGGTGACAGCATGCTCATCATTT